AATTTATACTCAAGTAACCCGATATCGATCCAATCACCACCCCTGAAATTGTTAATTTTAATTTTACTTCAAGCGGCCGAAGAAATTAGTCAGTTTTTACCATCAGTCAAGTGCAATGTCCCTCCGCAAGATGCAGAAGTGTGTGAATGTGGTCTCTCTTACATAGGACAAACTAAAAGATCAATTAAAATTTAAAACCCGCGTTAAAGAACATATAGCTGATGTGAAAGATCGACGCTCCGGGAAGCCTGCATTCTGTGAACACGCACAGGATCACCCTGTCACTACATCAGATTTGATAGACCACCAATTCCCGCTAAAGAACACCGATTCCTTCCATGGATGATTCGCGAGGCTATTGCAAACAAACATTCTAATTTCAATAGATGGCTGGGTGCTACCATCCGCTTGGGATCCTATAACTAATAAAATTAAATCCTAACCAAAGCATACATCTGCAAGACTTCAAGATACTATAAGTTAATACTGCGTAGATCGTAACAAAAATTAATAATTTTAATCTGGAGGTAGCCGTAGCTAATTATGATATTGGGATGTCGAACACCTCAGCCGCCCGTGACTTATCTATGCCCGTGATCATGGGTGCTGTAAAGTGCTCGAAATGTCTGAATTATAAAAAAAGTTAATAATATACGCGATAAAATCCGTAAAAACAAGATTTATTTAAATGTGTGTGCGCGTTAATGTAAGAAATCATTATGTAATTTTATGTTATAATTTACCACGTGTTTGATAGCCAAATAAAACGTCGTAAAACATGCATATCTGAAAAATAAAATATTTCAAAGAAACGTGAAGTTTGCCAATAAACACGAGTAGCGCGGAGCACTACGACAGAAAATAACCGGCCAAGTGCGAGTCGTACTCGCATATGAATGGTTCCGTACCATCGTAAAACACCTTTTTTAGTAGGAGGGCCCCCTTTAATTTTTACTTAAACAAACACACGCCTGTCACCCAGAGGGGTAGGCAGAGACTACAGACTTCCATTTAGCACGATCCTGACATACCTCTCTCGCCTCTTCCACATCCATATATCTACGCATACATGATCGTCGGTTAAGGGTACACCTTTTGGTCGACAAACTTTCGCCTGGGACGTCCCTTTCCGTCTCTTCTATTCACTTCTGCAACATATATTAGCTTTGTCAGTCTTTCCTCATTCATTCTTTCTACATGACCAAACCACCGAAGTATTTCTTTCTTAACCCTGGTCACCGCATCATCTTGCAAACCACACTCTTCTTTTATCACACAGTTTCTCACCCTGTCACTCAGATTCAGCCTTAACATACTCCTTAGCGACCGCATTTCTACTGCATTTATTCTACTCTCGTGCTTCTTCTGCCACACCCAACTTTCACTACCATACGTTAATTTTTAATTTATAATTTATCTTTAATTTTTAAATTTATATTTATTTTTATTATTTGTTGTTTTAGCGGCCATTCACAAAAATAAATAATCTGTGACAATTTCAACTTTCTACCTATAACGGATCATGAGATAAAGCCCGCTGACAGACAGACGGACGGACTGACAGCAGAGGCTTAGTAATAAGGTCCCGTTGGTTACGGGTCGTGTACGGAACTCTAAAAATGGTTTTATACGTAACAGGGTACTACTACTTAGATCTCAGATCATAGAAACAACAGTTCTATGATCTGAGACTAAGACTGTGGCTTACTTTTATGATTCCATTGAGGCAATATTGTCCTAGTATAAAAGTAGAACAGAATAATAGCATCCATATTTTGAGTGGGTACTCTTTCGCCGCTACTACAATACAATACAATTACTTTATTTCAGGCATCAAGGACTTAAAAATGAAGAACATTGGCCCTAATAAAACGTCAACATAACTCAATTTTATTTAGGGAACTATCCCAGAGAGCCAAAATAGGGAGCGAGATATGTCTCTTTGTATTTTGCAGGAATCTGCAGTACGTAGGATTTGAAGTTCGTTGACGTACAATCTCCAGACGCTGCAAATGTAAAGAGATCCCGATCCTCTATGCGGCATCGGGTTCGTTCTTCCACGAAACGCAGGACGTCTTCTCCCGACGTACTTTTGTCTAAAAGGGAGATGTAGAGCAGTGCAATGCAAGCAAAAATGTGTTTTTGATATTTCTGATACTATTATACTCGTAATATCTTCTGCCCATTTGAATGCATCCGAAAATACTCTGAAGTTTATTTATTTGCTTGTTGCACAAATTTTGCTTAGGGTTGAAATTCAAAACATGATTGTATAAGGTTGTATAGATAAACACAACATAAAGCTTAACGCCTGTTATCAAGAGCTGAGAACTACCATTTGGCACGATTCTGACACACCTCTCTCGTTTCTTTCACTTTCTTATATTTACGCATACATGCTCGTGGGTTAACGGTTAATACTCTTAACTTTGTCCTAACTATAATATATCAACAATGTGATTAATAATCTTGCCCCATACATTATTTCTACGTGCACAAAACATCGAACATTCCAACACCTCCCTTCGAACTTATAAAGTATATTATAAGGCATACTAGCTTGCCAGGCAAACGTCCTTCTGCCCTTTTCGGCCTTTTTTTTTAAATCTATTCCAAAAAGTATATTGTGGGTCACTCATAGGCAAAAAAACTATACTTTCTCTCAAGTTGGACCAAACTGCACACGAGTCCATCGCAGGCAAACAACGTGACACGTAATTTATATATATATATATATATATATATATATTTTATTATAAGGTATATTATGAATTAAAACCCTGTCTTATTTAATTGCATCTTTCGATTTTGAAAATTATCATCTACCTAAAAATATTTCACAGTAATAAAAAAGAAAATTCTTGTGTATTTTATAGTGACATGGAAAGATAATGGTCACTAAAAATAAACAAGAGTCTTTTCTGCCAACCACTAGAGCACGTTCTAGGCAGCATCTTCATATAAAGAGTCGTTTGTTGAACATTCGTGTAACGCTAAAACATAACAAAATGTAGGCTATAAAATAAGAAACAACTTAGGGTGATTACTCAAAACTCTAATTACTTTTCTTGGAACGATTTAAAATTTTAAATAAATCATTAACTAACTAATTAATAGCAAAATACGATCTTATTAATAGTAACTAATTAATGTCTAGATTCCTCTTTTAGTTTTTGAAATTAAAACAACTCTTGAGTTTAGATACTTTTGCCTTATCAAGGTAACTTTTTTGATCGTAGAGCTATGAAGAAAAAAAATATCTCAAAGCGAAAACTATTGAAGGTTAGACAATAGAACAATATTAGAGTCTAAAAATATATCGAAGAGTATTTAAGATTTGATGTTCGTGCGATAGCTGAGAATTAGATAACATTACGGCTTACGGTACTCCTCGCAAATTCTGTAATTTAAAACATGTTCCAACCAAACCAAAATAAACCAAATAGCGGAAATAGGTTTAAATATGGCGAACCCAAATGGCTATTATGGACACCTGCAACCAACATCCAACAAAGAAGGTTAGAGTTGCGGTGTCACCCGTGATCTTATTTTTTTGTTATTTTGAGGAAGGTATGGACAGGTCTGACTGCATAGCAACCCCCCTTTGGTATATACAGTTCAGAGTAAAAAATTTGCTTTAGCTTTTTCCTATGTATTAATTTATTCTAGGGACTGTATTCTACAAGATTATCGGTCATCACTGAATATCGGAGATGATAATATGGTTTCATCACAATATATGCTTAGTGATGTCCTTTGCGCCTCCTTGCAAGGAGGATGTTAAGAATTGGGGGGTAAGTTATTCCCATATTGGCGCCAAAAAAAATGTCCTTCCTTTTCTGATGCTTTGACGTACAAAGTCAAATTTATTAAAAATGTAGTGTAATGTGGTTTGTGTTTTGACTTATATATTAATAGCGTAGTTTGTGTCAAAATAAAGTTTATTGTTTATGTTACTTCTTTTTCTTTTTTATTATTCCTGTAATTAATACTCGATCTCTCTACCCTTCCGATCGGAACACATCAGTTATATAGCACGGCTATTTGTCGGTAGATATAGGAAAGAGCGTGGTTAGATACCTAGACGGTCTCGTAAATAGAAAAGGAGTGTTTTTTCTTACTTGAAATAACATTCTGCAGAACACAATGTAAAGACGTTCATGCTGCAAACTAAGCAAAACAAAATAGTAATTTTTTTGTAATAATTCGCTTTAAACTCAAAATAATATTAGACAAAGATAAAAATAAAGACAACAGTTGTATAATATCTGCACAAATGACGCACAATATTGACATTGTCAGATCCCGTTAAGCTAGATATGAACGTCCTGGTTTAGTGTCAAAAATCTCGTGGGAGCGTCTTGAGCTTGATGTATCTAACAAAAGAAACATTATCGCTTAGTGTCGTAGCGTTTAGTTACAATGTGATCCGATAAGTAATTGGATTTTAGTATAGAGTCTAGCCGTTGTGTTGTTGAAGCTTGTAGAGTAGGGCTGAGACAGCGGCTGGCGGGGGCGGCGAACACGATGCTCTGGGCTCTGGCTGTCTCCGCTTCTAGTCGCTCCGGTCGCGATCGTTTGTGTGCACGTCGCACCTCCGCGCTTGCCGCACGCACCGCGCTCTACGATAACGCGCCCTATTTAAATCAAACGTAAGACCGCGCAATCGGCTCCATTCACATCTACGAACTTACGATTATTGTGACATTTAAACATCGACAGTTTCGAATAACAATTGTGAGATAGGTCGGTGGAGCGGTCTCGAAACCGGATTTGTGACCATATGATCCGCATCTGACCGTGCGCCGTGCTCTCAGATATTGATACACAGCTACAAATATACAATGCGGATCAAGAACTGAAAAGTGTAGTAGAGATAATTAAGTTTGAGGTGAAGATATTCCAGTGCTAAGCGATAGTCCCTTATAAATCGTCCTTATCGGAAATGTGATTGTTGACATTGTGAAATTGTATATTGGTGGCGTTATCGGGATAGTGCGATGGCTGGTGCAACTGAGGAAAGTGTGGCTGTGGAGGAGAATGTACCTCCAGCAGTCGAGGAAGGCCGCAAACGTGGATTAAGCGGGTCAATGTCACTTAGGACTCGCAAACTTGGAAGGCGCCTGTCACGCAGCATGTCTATAGTTGCGTTGAAGTTGCCTGAGAAGGCGCAAAGTATTACTCGCTCCTCTTCGAAGCTTATGAGATCTGGTAGTCGCGACAAGAAGAACAGATCCTTTGAACTTTCGATCATACTTCCTGATAAGACGCAGAAACAGGTAAATTGAAAACAATTAATTAATTGACGATACAACATTTGTAATTATGTCGTCCCACAGAAATAGTAATAATATCATTACGATTTCTGTGTGTCGTCCATATTTATAGATTTAGTAGGTAGGTACAATGATATAAAAAAATCTTTGAACCTGGTCATTGTTAAAAAGCTTCAAAATGCATAATTAACTGAATTATTTATTAACAGAATCGTTATAAAAAGCGACAGTAGCCTAATGGCAGGGGGCGGACCGCGAACTCAAAAAGGTCTTGGTTTCGAATCCACCATTCGACTACTGGCGTGAACCACTCGTAACACAAGCAATTTAAGCTTACCACGAGTGGTTAAGGTGAATATTAGTAATGTTTATAGCATTGTTAATATTATTTAAAAAAAAAATTTGATTTTTAACTTCACACCATTATTTGATATAGTTAATTATTTGTTTTCTAACTCTCATAAATCTTTGATTGTAAACACAGAAATCGTTAATATTAATAAAAAAAAAACACAATAATATTATACATATTATACATAATAATATTATAATCGCAATAACATTATATATAGACAATTATTACTATTTCTGTGATTGACATGCCATGCAAAAAAAGCCATATTTTGGTTTTGTATTAACGATCAAACTATCGTTATCATTATTATAGTTCTACATCGAATATTTTTTTTAAATATGCAACGTCAAGTTTCTACAAGGAATTTTAGCGTTGTTTGATGTTTTAGAGAGGATTACGATTTAGGGATTCAATGCATGTTGAAGGTTTCATCGCGCTAAGTCGATACACGCGTGCGGAGTCATATGATGTGCATGCAAATGCTTTCTTTGACTGCCCATACCCATTGCAATTTCGCTGTCGGGACGTTTCTCTACTGCGTCACGCCGCCCACACCACGGATTTCTCCATTGATATAATAATGAGTTGCAATTGCCTCCGTTCAAATCCGTCGTTGGGCATTGTTTGCTTTTGTCATTGAACCGGGGAATTGCGCGCACTTAATGGCTCGATTGTTTGACTACCGGCCGGCTGCCAACAGTGTAACTGTTATCAATCGTTTGAAACTGCGATTTAAACGTAACCTTCGTCTATTAAGCCCGCCACACATATACGAAATCCGAACAGTGTTCCGTATGTGTGTGGCGATCCGTTCGTTCCGTTTCGGGATTCCGTTTCGTGAATTAACCGTATGTTAGTTATTTGCTATAATAAAATCTGCATTTCATTAGTATTGTTTTACAAATCTGTTGATTTAGATGAGATATGTTTAAAAACTGTCAGATATCTACGCCAATACATAATATTATAATGATTTGTTAGCGTCGCACTTTGTGAATAAAGGTCACGGCCATTCTAAGTACGTACCTACTTAATTAAGTAACGTTTATTTTTATAACAATGAAACTCTTCCTTATAAAATCTGAAAAGGTTATACTTAATCCGGAGCAGACTTCAGCTGAGTTTGACCTGCATGAATTACAATTAAAAATATTAAAATGTTAGTTTCTACACATATATTATCTTATTTACCCAAAAGTTGAAGACTTTCTGAGCGATTTGTTTTCTTAATATTGTATTTATTTAATAATAAAAGTTAAAGCCTATCATATACGTCCCACTCCAGGATACAGGCCTCTTCTCATTTTTGAGAGGGTTTTAATGTAGGACCACACTAGGCGGAACTGCACCGCAGCAGAACTTCACGCCAAATTTGATCAACTGATCAACTCGTGTCGCTCAGTTCTCGCCTAGTTAGGTCCTACCTTTAGAGTAGGGCTCTGTTCCAATGCGTTTTGGCGGACTTCACATTTGTTTTTTATAGGATAGGGTGACAAACGAGCACACAGTCCACCTGATGGTAAGTGGTTGATGCGGCCCATAGACATCTACATCTATCCTCGATTACAAATCAAAATGCAGATGCGTTGTCACCCGTGAGGACTAAGATGGAATGCCTCGTTTCCAGTAAAAAGGGTTTCCGGTTCTCTACACTTACCATACGAAATACAGCAGCATTAATTTTTATTGGTAACTATACTACTAATATAACTGCAGCATGGCTCTACCACGTATAATCACATCACATGTCTTCTTTTTTAATTTTCTAGTCATGAAGGTCTCAATGTTCGGTCACAACGTTGTATTTCACCGCTGAAGACACGGTAAATCAGCACTTAAAATTGCAATAAGCAATTTCATTGGTATCGAATCTAGGTAATTTACAGCGAACACTTAGCCCCTGAGCTGTCAAGGTTGCTTATTACAGACACACTTAAAAATAAGTATCATAAAAATTATTGGTTGTGCCGAATGATGGACTAAAACTCTTCCGAAATCGTTTGACCCAATGATGTTGGTGAGTGGATTACTTAGAATCACTTGTGCTGGGCTTTATGCTCACCGACTTGCTAAAGGTGGTGAAAATTTTCATATTTGCCAAATGATGCTCGCTAGTCCGCGTATACTTAGAAGGCCTGTGTCAATTAAGTTTTGTTCAACGGCAGTATAGCTGCAGCTATACCGTCTTTGCACCACATATGGATGAGTAATAAGAGAGTTGTGTAATAAGAGAAGAGTGTGGTTTGCAAGATGATGTTGTGACCGGGATTAAGAAAGGAATGCTTCGGTGGTTTGGTCATGTGGAAAGAATGAATGAGGAAAGAGTGACAATGAAAATTTATGTTGCAGAAGTGAATGGCAGAGTCGGTAAGGGACGTCCTAGGCGAAAATTTATCGACCAAATTGGCGATTTATTGAAAACGGGCCAAATTAGGAGTACCCTTAACCGACGAGCATGTATGCGTAGGTGTATGGATGTGAAGGAGGCGAGAGAGGTGTGTCAGGATCGTGCCAAATGGAAGTCTGTAGTCTCTGCCTACCCCTCTGGGTGACAGGCGTGAGTGTTTATGTTATGTTATATGGATGAGCTTGACCGTGGAACTCTCTCTCACAGACTATCAGCGTTAACTAGCAGCTCAATGTTTTTTTTGTTTTGTGTGGCGAATGTTGGTAATTGGTGACTCTTTTAACTGGCAACGAGACATTCTATCTTAGTCCTCAAGGGTGACAACGCATTTACATTTTGATTCTTAATCGAGGATAGATGTAGTTGTTAATGAGCCTTTTGGCATTACGTGGGCTGTGTGTTCGTTTGTCCTTTATTCTATGAAAAATATGATCATTTTACGTATCTTCTTCTTGTTTTTTATCGGTCCGTAAATGTCCACTACAGGAACTCTCCCATTTTATAAAGGATTTGCCCAATCGACAACATTGGCAATCCACCTGCAGCCCTAGACGTCTCGCACCTTTGATGATGCCTCCCGTCATTATTTCGGATATTTCTCATTAGACTTACGCTAGGTGGTGACACCGCAGTCTATCAAAGGTCATGACACATTTTTGGCATTTCCCGAAGTCGTATCTTGCGACAACCATCCGATTGTAAAGGGGAAAGGCTGGTTTTATTTACTCAGTCAGCACACGCTTAATTTGGATATATTACCCAAATAATTTGGGGGGTGTTGGTTTTCCGGGGGGTTGTTGTCTCGCCCTTGGTGACGGTGTGTATGTTGTTGATGTATGTACCCAAATAATTATTAAATATTTAACATCATTTAATTTCCCAATGACAAAGTTAAAAAACAAACTTCATGAATGGCTTTTACTTAATTGTTTCTATACTGTTAATGAGTATCTTGATCACAAAAAATTAAAACTATCTAAAAACTATATTTAAATATCTATATCTAAAAATGCTTGAATTTTTTTGCTGTGAAATTATAAAGGACTTCGGTAGTTATAGAATAATTATTAGTTAGTTAATTTTACTGTTTTTACATATGAACATTTTGATATTTGTAAGTAAGTTAAATTAATCAAAAAAAATTGTTATATCTAATTAGTCAAAATTTGCACGCCTCGATAAGGCAGAATGTATAGGAACTTTTATGTTTTAATACTCTTGTAATATATCTACCTACATTCTATGCAAATAAATAATTATGAATTATGAATCATCATCATTACAACCCTTCACAAGTCCACTGCTGAACATAGACGTCCCCCAATGACGTTTATTATTTTTTTATTTAAGTAGACGTCATTAATTTAAAAGTATTTTTTGTAAATGTGGCTGATATTTGCAAAAAAAGAACAGCATGCAGTATTGTAAAACTTGCCGTCATACTTTGTGGAAATTCTACACTTATTTAAGTGGAGTCTTGAGCGAAATCGTATCCGGATAACGGATGTTAACTGTCTTTCTTATTTACACGACTATTTTTAGTCGTATTATACTGCCTTAAAAGTTTTTAAATATTTGCCACCTGTCTAAAGAAATAAACAATTCTTACTAAAATTGCGAAAGAGTAAATTATACGAATATTTTAGAAATTGTGGTGATATTGATTGTTTTCCATAGCGCAAATACCCAAGATCAACAATCGGGAAAACGTGACGTTACTTAACCTATGCTTTTCGTATTAAGGATCCGATTTGTGATTAAAATTGTTTTTGTTTACTAACAATAAATTTAATATTTTCAACTACGTAATTGGCGGAATTGACTACTCGAAGCGGTTTTAATATAGATGATTATACCTTAAAATGACAGGTCATACTTGTAACTAAAGTTAGGTGAGAAAGCGGATGTTTGTTATACGTATATCCCGAATAAAGCAAAGCGACTATAAATTGAATTATTAATTAGTAAGTTCCTTAAATCTAGGTATGATGTCGGTTATATCATATGTATATATAGACAAGAATATTTAAGGGTAATGAATGATTAATTCATTTTAAAACTTTTTTTAAAGAAGTTAGTGCTCTTTGCTCGAGAAGGGACGAGATTTAAAGACAATAAGGAAGAACGCCCACGAAATGCACAGCACGTCTGAGGATAATCGCATAAGTATAAAGCCAGGAAATGGCGCATAAAGGAGCTGATTTGTATGATGTATTAACCTGTTGTTTAGGAAGTAATTCATATTGTACC